TAATTACTGGATTTGGTGGTTTATATTTTCTTTATTATATATATAAAGAGTATACCTATTTAATAAATCTTTCCAATTTATTTATTTTAAAAATGGATGATCTTTAATTTCATCAGCATCTCTTTAAGAAGCACCTAATCTCTACATAGGATTCTTAATCAAGAGAGATTATATCATAGATTTACATTCTTTAGTTATTGTTTCTGGAAATTGAATGTTATTTTGTTCAATATTATTTATCATTTCATCTCTATTGGCTGAAAAATAAGGTGGTCGACCAGTAATCATTTCATATAATAAGATACCTAATATTTAATATAATTGAATTACCCATATGATACCAATCAACAGCTCTACCATGCCCTACTCTTTTAAGCATTTCTGGAGCTAAATATGCCATAGAACCACAAAAACTTTTAGCTCCATAGTTGTCATGTATTCCTTCTTTTGATAATCCAAAATCTGTTAACATTGCATGTCCATATTAATCTATAACAACATTTTCAGGTTTTAAATCTCTATAGATAATATCATTTTAATGTAAGTGTTCTAAAGCAGTTAATATTTCTGCAAAGTATAATTTTGCTTATTATTCTGATAATCTTTATTGTCTTTATATTAATTTAGATAGATCACCACCAGGACAAAAGTCCATTAATAAACATAAATGAGTATTAGTTTAAAATGCATATCTTAATTTAACAATAAATGGATGATTCAAATAAGATAATATATTTCTTTCAGTTAATGCATATCTTAATAAATTTTATCCAAGAAATTTATTCTTAGGTAATACCTTCATAGCTAATTTTGGTCCTTGATTAGGTCTACCAGTTATTCTCTTTTCAACCAAATAAACATCCCCAAATGAGCCTTTACCTATTTGTAATATTATTCTAATTGAAGATGGTCCAATTACTTCAGTATAATCTTATGCAGGATGAATGTATGCTGTTGATCTATTTGAATGTGAATTCATATATTCAACTTTTTAAGGAGATTAACAACGACTTAACATTTGATAAGTATTTGTATGTTATTTACTATTAGGGGAAGTGATTACTCTTTCAGTAGTTTCTTCAAAGATTCTAACTCTTTAACATAAGTTAAATGAATCTTATTTCATCTTAATTAAGTTGATTCACTACCTTCAAGTGTTTATCAAAAAGTATTTTGAGAGCAGGACAATTTTGGACTAAATCATAAGGTGTTTTGCCATCTAGATTTCTAATATTTATCATTATTGAAGGTCTAGCTAATAAGATTTCACAAACTCTCTTGTGTTCTATGATAAAATCAATAGTTTTACAAAAATAACAAGCATAATGTAATGGAGTATTTTAAAGATTGTCCATATGATTAATATCAGCACCTATAGTTAACAATAATGACAAAATATATTCACAACCTTTTTAAGCACAAATACTTAATGCAGTTTATCCTTATGAATTTATTAAATCACAATCAGCTTCATTTTTTAAAAGTAATAATGCTAATTCATAATTCTGATTCATACAACTATAATGTAATGGAATCAATCCTTTAAATTATTATGATATTTAATACCATTTTCATCTCTTATATTTATTTCAGGTTTCAAATCCTTTGATGTAATTTCTAAAAGTTTCTCTACTTCTTTTATATTATTTGATTTAACATAATTTAATAAGCATTAATTATTCTCTTTTTTCTATTACCACCAACCTTACCATGCTGATTTATGTCTTTTTTTTAATTTTGTCATGTATTCTCTATTCACAGGAATCTTTTCTGTATTTCTAATATCATAAACAATTCCTATATTATAAATAATTAACTACCTGTATCTTAATCTTTTATTAAAAATGCTGCATCATTCTCACCAATATTTTAATACAAATGGACAGGTGCAGTATTAGTATGATAGTGAGAAGATTTCCATTATTATTCTTCCATATAACTAGGTTATTAATCAAATCCAATAGAATTCTTAGAACTAGATTTATTACTATTGCAATTTGATAAACTTTCTTATGAATTTTGATAAATTGGTTATCTTTGTTGTTGTTTAATAATATTTATACATGGCTTCTAAATTATAATCTTTAGTCTTCTAACTTTTCTTAATTTAAAACTCATTTCCTTTAATGGATTACTCCCCTACTCTGTTCATTTGTTGATTAGTTTCTCTTGGTGTTGGTAACATATATTAGCGTTGCATTATAAAACAAATTTATATTAAATAAACTTAATATTAATATATACACTTCATTCATTCTCACTATCATCAACTATTCTCTTCATATATATCTATCTAATTCATATTTTAATATTTATTCTTCAAAATATTGCATAACTTAATCTATTTAATTTTATAATCCCAAACATTATTTTGACTTGGTAATACTACCTTTAATTCAAGAAATTTATTTAAAAATTATAAAACTATTCAGAATGAAAATTAACCAAATATCATTACCAATATTTTATAAAAAATAAGGATATAAAAAATATATCCAGCTGGAGCTAATTAAATAGATTAAAAACTTTATTACTATAATTGAGAATAATGGTATAGGTTTTATACATTATAATAAAGATTATTAGAATAATTTTATAGATATAAATAAATTTTTAATGTATTATTCTTTATCAAATATTCTATTTTATTTTTGATATTCTGTCTAAATCTAAAATTTGATCATTTTCATTATTAAATACAATTTCTAATATTTTATCATATCTACGATAGGGCTTTTTTTTTTCTATTAATTTCTCTTAAATTGGCTTGAAATATTCTAATAAATGTCTAAATTTAAATATTTTATTTAAATGTTATAAACAATTAAGTTAAGAAGATTTGACATTCTATTTTTTAAGTTAGTCTAATATTTCTCTAATTTTATTGTTATATAAAACATCATAATTTTTATTTGGTAATTAAGGAATTGTCTAATCTTTTTATTATTTAATTATTTTATCTTTATAATTTTCTAAAATTGATAAATAAGTCTTTAGATAATACTTCTTAAATTGATTTATTTCATCTTTTGTATTCTCATCATCCCATAATATTAACTCTTAATTTACATCAAGATTTAATTTATCTAATTCCTAGTATATTTATAATAAAATTATAGTATCTGATTTAATTGCAGCATCCTTACTTGAATTCTTTTAAAAAAACAATTTAATGAACTTTATTTTTGCAAAGAATTCCATTATATAAAGTCTTCCAGTAATTAATTCATTAGGAGCTATCAAATATTTACCTATTTTGTAAATTAAAAATCCTTCTAAACCTAAAATCTTCTCTTTCAAAAGTAATGTAAAGTATTCCTGCCTTAATTATATTAAAGTTGGTCTTTCATGTGGAGTTTCCTTTATACAATTTCCTACTAATTATTTTATTTCTATATCAAGAGTATCATTTTCCTCAATTATATTATATCTTTCCTATAATTATGATTAATTCTAAATTTAAAAGATTGAATTTCTGGTGTATATTTCATATATAATACAACCTAAGGCAAAAACTGTCATTTTTTCATTAAACTTAATTTATTTTGCATTCCCTTTAATTATCTCATCAATAATCTCATTAGGTATATTTTTATTGTTGATTAATTCTTGATTATCCTACTTTAATTCATCTGTTCCAAATTTAGAAAGGTAAATCCTTTTTGTTTATATGTTATTCATTTAATTTTACTGATCATTTACAATCCATTGAGAAGGTTCTGGAGTGTCAATAAAGTGAGTATTATTAAGCATTGGAAGATGAATTCTTTAATAGAATTAATTTCATACCCAAATTTATTGAGAGTTATTTCCAATTTTAATATTCTCATAATTATATAAGGTATAATTTCATTAAACCTTTCATTGATTACACCAAATAGATCTTAAAAATTATTACAAAATTGTAATTCTGTAATATCTTCAAAAATAAAAATAAAAGAGTCATCTTTTTCCTCAATCTTCATATAATTTGAAAAATAACCTAAATTTTTTTTTTTAATTGATGGTAAGCTATTTTTTAGTAATTTTATCTAATAAATATAATTATGTCTCTACCTGATTGATTTATGCTAAAACTAGGGATTACTTTTCAACTACATAAGAGTTACTATTTTCTTAATTCATAATTAATATATTAAAAATTAAATAATTCAATTCTATTGCTTAAAATTAAGCAATTTTATTCTCCCTTTTTCATTCTTAATTGATAATCAACCTATTTCTTATCATATTAATTTAATATATAAGAATTACTTTGATTTGATTTAAAATACAAGAAATATTGGTAATTTGATTTATCATCATATATTTATAAATTATTAAAACTTTAATTGTCTTATTTCTTAAAACTTATAATATATTAATTATTAAAAATTTCTCTGGTCTGGTAATTCATTATATTTTCTGTTAATGATTAAAAATAATTCGAAAAGCTATTCCAATATAAGAAAAAAGTCAACACTATCTATATTGGAAATATCTAAAGGAAAGTAATAAGTTGTTACAAACAAAACTAGAGCAAAATCCATAACTTCAACAATAATAAAGTTATAATTGATTTAGATTTATTAGGAAGCCTATCCCTTTACTTAAACCACCTGAGATTGATTTAAATAAGATAGATGTAAATCCTTTTACATTTGCAAATAGAAATTCTCATAATAATTCATCAGATCAAATTAATTCTAGAAGTTAAAATAGTGATGTTGAATAATAAATGAATGTTGCTGTCATTAAATAAAATAATTAAGATTAATTACAAATTTTGAAACGATAAAAATAATTACTTGAACATAGATTAATGTAAGAGACTGAATCATGTCAATAATATCAATAAAATTATCATTTTCTTCAAGAAAGACTATAAAAGTTGGAACTTGCAAAAAATAACTACATAAATGAAATGAATTCGTTTACTAAATGTTTAAAACTAATTTTAAATAAGGATGAATGATTTATATTTATAAAATAATTTATAAATATAAATATATTTATAATAATCAATTTATTGATTAAGTGAGTTCACATAATTAATCATAAATATCTTATAAATAATTATGTGTAGTTGTAAATGAAAAGTTTTCTAATTAACTATGTTAAATTATAATCTTATTATCAATATAAGATATATTGCATTCATTAAGATTATAAATCATTTAAGCTTTTTTACATTTTTAATTTTTGAAAATCTAAATTTATCTACTATTATAAATCAAATATCTAAATTATAATATTATAAACTATTACTTCTCTTAAATATCATCATCCTCAAATTAAACTTAACAACTACCAATATTTTTAATAAAATAATCAGTTGTATCACTATTAAATTCATTGCTGCTCTTCTTTGATGAAGACAATGAATTTGATTAATCTTAAAATGTAATCTCATTAATATTTGGTCTTTGTTTAGGATCATAATTTAGACATTCAATTATTATTTCACTTATTTTAATATGTCTATCTCTAAGAATAGATGGCAAAATGCCTTTTCTGGCATCATTAATTACTTTAATCATTTCCATAGAGGTAGATATAGGATGAAATAATAACAAAATTATTAATCCTAAAGCATAAATATCACTTTTTTAATCATAAAATGTTTTATTTATATTTTAAATGATTTATTCTGGAGCAGCATACATTTTAGTGCAAATATCATTATCATTATCCAAATCATCAAAATCATAATATTATTTTAATTTAGTCACTAAACCAAAATCACCTATTTTAACATCTTATGGACTATTCATAAATATATTTCCTGGTTTTAAATCACGATGAACTAATTAACATTCATTATGTAAATAGTCTAATCCTTTAATAATTTATTCTAATATAAGTTTAGCCTCTTTTTCATATTCTTATAGTTAAATTTAATATTTTTGTATATTCTATTTTTTAAATTTCATTAATTCATTATTTCTTTATTACAAATAGTTTTCAAGTGTTTATTAACAAAATTCTGTTTATATATAGAATATGATTTTATCAAATTCTAATTTTTTTTCATCTTGACTAGTTGATTTCTTATTTTGAATTTTGTGACTTTTTTTCTTTCTATTAACTCTAGATATTGATTATATTTCATTTTCTTATTCTGAATAACTTATTTATTCATTTTGAGTATCTTTAAACATAATTAAATTTTCAAGATCATTCTTTGAATTTTATTATGAATCACAAAAACTAAAATTATTTCGTTCAATAACAAAATCATTTTAATCTTACTCTTATTTTCTCATTGTTTTTTATTCTGATTTATTTTGAATAACTTCAACCCATGAATTGAAATATCTAATAATTTTTGGATGAGATAGACGAGCTAAGTATTTGGCTTCTAAAGAACTTTTTGATCAAATTAATTTACCTCTTTATGCTCTTTCAATATTTTTCTCAAGACTATCTTTAATATCTTTAGATTTGAGTTCTATCTAAAATAATATATAAAACACACTATACTTTTTTTAAAGCATAAGTATTTTTATCCAATAGGTTGATCACTTTATAAACCTCAGAGAATCCACCCTTTCCTATCCTCTCTAGTACCTTGAAGTCCGATTCTAATCTCTAACATAAATATTAGGAAAATAAGAATAATTATAAGTTAGGTCTATATAAATAAACAGTATGAGTTTATTTTGTACCTTAGACTATAAGGTGGCTAGTTTGGCAAGATCGATTGGAAACATTGATTATGAAATTTTATCAGAAAAAATAATATAACTAGAAAATATTATAATATTATAGTTAAATATTTTAAAATCATAAGATCATATTTTTATTTGTTGATATAAACTATCATCACTCATCAAATCTTATCCTTTTTTATCAATTTCCTCCTAAATAAGATAGAATTAATTATATATACTTAATCATATTATGAATTGAATGTTTCAATTTTTTAAAATTATAACTCTTGTTTAATTGTATCTAAATTAAATTTCAGTTTTTCATTTTCCCATTATAAAGATGATACTTAATTTTACAAACATGTAACATAATCTTTATTCTAAGAATCTTATTATATATCATTTATTTATAGATTTCTTTAACTTGATGAATTTAACTATTATTATTATTATTATCTTAATGTAGAATATATTTTGAGTTTTCTATTTGGATGATTTGAATTAAATAATTAAATTGGTACCTATCCAAATTCTGCTACCTAGGTTTCCAAAGCTTATTTTTCTATAGATGTTCTACATTAATTCCAGTTAACATTTTCAGCATAAGTATAAGGATAAAATAAATTATCTTACTTAACAGCTTCATCTCCTCTAGTTTTGCAACCAAATATTAAATCTATCCATTTAGGTAGTTAAGAACTTACATAATCACTTTCTAAAGCCATTCTCATTTTTAATAAGAAATCAGTCATTGAATTAGCCCAAGGTGGTATAATAGCATCATCTATTATTTCTCCTTCTTAAGTCATTCCTAATTCTAATTTATCACAATTGATCAAGAAATCTGGATCTAGTGAATAAAATTCTGGAATTAATTCTTTAGAATCTGCATGTAAATTTAATGTTGTATACCAAGTACTATCAATACCTCTAAAAATACGATCTGTTGGTCCAAATACACCATTTTATAATTTAATTACAAATTCAGGTATTTTTCTTATTAAATAATAAACAACAGTTCCAGGACTAGAATAATGAGTTGGATATATATAAGGTATCATATCATTATTATTATTGTTTTTTTAGTTTTTCAATTAATCTTAATAGGCTTATTTATATTTTTATAATCTATGTTTATTTAGAGCACCAACAGGACGAGATAAATCTCTGAAAAATTCTGGAGATGATAAATCAAATGTTTTATCATTATATTCTGAAATAACCCAAGGAAATACAGGATAAGCAGATAGATCACAAAAGCTTCTACTAGAAAAAGTATTTAAAGACATTAAATAATCAAAATTGCTTAAATTACCATTTACCCAAAGTTCAGTCAATTTTTCAATTGTTATTGAACTTATTTAATTTTTAGTAGTTTTTCTTATTAAATATTTATAGACTGTTTCTAATTATTATATATCTTCAAAAACAAGTAAAACACTTCTTTTTTTATTAAAGAACCATATTTCTAAACCTATTTATTTAAACATGTAAGTATATTTTAAGAAGAATTTAATATCAGTCAATTACCACATTAATATTTTTCCTTTTGGTGAATTGATTAATGGAATATATTTAATTCCTTCATCTCTTTAAATAGAAAATAATCCATATATAATTCCTTCAGGTTTAATTAATTTACATTTAACTGCAAGTTCAATTTTAAGTCCTTATTAAGATGATTAAGCTCTATGTTCATTCATTGCTTCATTTAATGTTGTATTGATAATTGTATTAATAAATGAGTTTTCATCTTCTGCTTAAGTAAGTCCTTAATAAAGTTTGAGAAATCTGACAATATTTTATTTTGAATTTGATTATGAAATTGAAAAGACAATATTCTCATCACACTAGATAATAATGATATTAGTTTACAGTCTCAGTAATGTAGGGACTAATAGGATTTCTATTAATAACAAATAGTTTATCTACTCTAATAAACATAATAGTATATTGTTAATTGGCAGTTCTAGATTAAATTTTGTAGAGTCGATCTAATAATTCATTATTTTTATTTCTTTTGAAATGTTAATACAATTAATTAATATCTAATGAGTCAATATCTTCCATTAATAATGAAGGAGTCCATTTAATTGACATGATTTAATTCATAGTTTTTGTATCAATATTACGCAAAATCTTCATTATAAGGTTATTTGAGTATTTCATCTTAATCATGGGTAATTTTGGTTAGTTTGGTTGAAATACTAAAGAACGGGAACAGATATGTAATTTACCACGAATTCTATTCTTATATGAAATTAATTACTCATTATTATTATGAAGTGAAACTTTAAGGGATAGAAAGTAGTATTCTTGAGTTTCTAAATGTAATAAATTGAATTCTTGTTTAGGCTTTCGTATTGAAGAGAGTGAGAAAAACATTAATTAATTTATTATATAATGTCTTAAAGGAAAAAAAAGAGAGATCCAACACCAACAAGAGTTGCTTTAGTTTGTCTCAAGACTACTCAAAATAATATTTAAATCAATAACTAATCATTGCTTAAGATATTCTCTAAACATGGTTCAATATCAAAAGTATGCTATTTAATGATATTATAGATATTAATATTTGAGAGAGGTTAATTATTAACTAAAGTCTTTATTGAATATGATGAGGTAAATTCTGCAATTGATGCTATAAAGTATGCATTTGGGTTAAATATTGTAGATATCTAAACAATACTAAAATATTGAATCAAATTTCATGTAATGTCTATCACTCTCGTTTAAAGTAATTGAAATTAGATACAGTCCCTTATACAAAAGGACTTGATTTTACTAATCTTCCATCTAACATTATTGAGCAAGTTGAATAAATTGAATAGCAGCTTGAAAATAATGATAAAACATTTAATAATAATGAATGGCAAGACTTTTAATTTGAAAATAGATCAACAGATGAAGTATCTGATGAAGAGGAACCTCAATTTTCAGAAGAGAAAATGAAAGATATAATTACAAAACTTAATTAGATTGATGAAGAGATAAATTAAACAATTGAAACAAAAATTGTTACTGCTTTAGATAAATTAAGATAGACATAATAATTCAATAAATAATAAGAAAATTAAATAATTCAAATCAATTAATGAAGACCACAAAATGATATATTCAAAATTTATAATTTCTCTCTTTTACAAATTGTAATATTTTAATTAATCGCTATTTAAATTATTTATAACCAATGAGAAACATGTATGCAAATTAAATTAGATAAACCCTAAAATAATCTTTATTTATAGGTAAAAAACATTAATTTCAATCTAATGAGAATATACAAATAAATGAATTACCATCAATAACATTATATAAAAATTTTGATGAGATTTATTGTTACAAGAATAAGAATCTTGGTAATGGAATTAAGTATAATAGGTTAGGGAGCACATGGGATTGTTAAAATATGTTATAACAAATTAGAAGGAAATGCAATACAATATGCAGTAAAAGTATTTCGTTCTGGTGATCCTGAAATTATTAGTACAATTAAAAAAACCTTTAAAATCAATAGACAACTTAATGATCTCCAATGTGTAATCAAAGCTATTGATTTATTTATTAATGTCACTAAAGAAGAAATACATCTTGTTATGGAATTATGTCCATATCCTTCTCTAGATAAACTCCTCTAATAAAAAAAATAATTAACTATCAGATAGCAACAATTACTTATTTTAGAACTTGCTAAAGCTATAGATAAAATTCATAACAAATGTGTTTGTCATAGAGATCTCAAACCAGATAATATCTTGGTGTAACTAACAGATGATGATGCAAAAATTAAAATAATAGATTTTGGAGTCTCAAAAAAATTTATAACTAAAACCAGAAATTCTACATAGAATATAGAAATGTGGACAAGAACTGGCTCATTATTTTATTAGGCACCTGAAATCTTTGCAGGAGGAGGATATAATTAAAAAGGTAAGGGTAAATACTTATTTAGTCGATATATGGTCTATTGGTGTTATTGTGTATTAATTATTTTGTTAATAATTGCCATTTTAAAATGATCAAATAATAGATACAATTGAATTGATATGTGATCCTAATTATAATGTAGAGAACACTGTATAATTTGAATCTTTAGACTTATTATAGTAAGATTTATTAAAGAGATTATTAAGAAAAGAACCAGAAAAAAGATTATCATCAACAGGTTTGTAATAATATTAATTATTAGAATTTATTTTACATCCTTGGTTACATCCAGATAATTAAGAATAAAATTAAAACCAATTTTGTTTTTCATTAAATCCAGATAAATTATAGAATTTATCAACATCAGAATAATTAATAGGAGTTGAATAGATTGATTAAAATATGGTACTTACTAAAGAACCCTATTGTGCAAGTACTATTTTAAGAGTTGAAGAACATAAAGAAAAAATAGATAAATTAGATGAAATAGGTAATCATATATATTTTTACTCTTCATCTAAATAATTAAATCAAGAACCAGAAATCAAGGGATAAAATGAAAAATAGACAAGTGTTACTTAAATAGAAGATGTCAAAGATGAAATGATACAAGGGAATCAAAAGTCTTTAGATGAAGATATTGAATTAAATAATTACAAAACTGTTGGTTCCTTTATATTGAATTGATATTATTTGTTTAATATTTTCTCAAATTTAATAACCAATTCACTATTTATCTTACTCATTAATTATTAGTTATTATTATAAATTATTACTTTTCTCATGAATTATAATCTATCCAAATTTTCAGCTCAATCTTTTTACTATATCAAATCTTATCAAATTAAAGTATAATTAAAATTATACCTAAAGGAATTCTATTTACTAATTTTAACATATTTATCATTTTCATTAACTTGCATATATTATGACATAAACATATAATAATTTCAGTATTTCAAATATAAGTTTTAATCTTAATTATTACTCTATTTTTAACTGAATTCAAAAGGAGATATTTTATCATTTCATTATAATAATATTATAGACCTTCCTTGATTAAAATTATTAATTTATTTATAATAGATATTTTGTAATCTAATTAAAAGATCTTTTGCAATTTCATGGTTTAAATTGCTTTATGATTGTTTGTTTAGTAGCAGATCCTACATATATGTTTTTATTTTTTTTTTCATTTTAATAATTTCAATAAACAATTATAATGCATCTTTGTAAACTACGATTCTTTCATGAACAAATAGACTAATTTCTTTCTACATTAATATCTTCCATTTGATTCTACATTCGGTTAATCTTTCTTTAGTCTTTTTTCTCTTTAAAAATAATATAGTAATTCATAAAGTTAATTTGGTTCCTTCATATTTTTTTCTAAATAAATCAAAGCATTCTATCTATGATGATACAATATCTAATATAATCTTATTTGATACTTAAGTACACAATTAAAATTTCAGACTTCTATTTTACTAATGAATTGCAAGACTGCCCAAATAACATTCTCCTAAATATTCTAAATATTTTGACACTTCTTAAATCTTAATATGTCCAGTTATCTTAATCAAGACATCTATAAAATCAACATTATTCACTAAATTAGTATTGAAGAATCTTAAAAATTTACTTTGATTATTTTTAAGAGATTATGCTCTATTTATTGTTATATAATTACCCTAATCCATTCATCATCAAGAATCTATCAACTGCCATTAACATAAGTTATTTGTATTATTTTAATACACCTTATTCATTTCTCCAATTCAATCTTAAATAGGTTTTTAATCTCTCTAGAATTTAAGTGAATTAATTTAATTTTTAATTCTTTTTTATTTCAAAAGTAGTAAAGAAATGAATTGCTGCAATTATCATTTATTAAAATATGGAATCTTCAATATTCAAATTATTGAACATTACTCCCACTTCTTCTAATGCAGACAATTACAATTGTGTTAATTCTTAATGGACTACATGTGGCTTCTACATTAACAATAATGAATTAAAAATTGAGAATATAAAGGCTTAGAATGCTTATTTTGAATATGAACTTAATATCATAACTATTTTATTAAGAAAATATTACTTAAACCAAAGTATTATTGATAATCAAATGGAAATAAAGTATTATTTAAAAACTATTGAGTTAAATCTTTAAAAAGAACTTTAATATATTAAGAAAATTTTGAAATGAATGGAAATTAGAAATAATAATTAATATTAAGCATTTATTTAATGTCTTAATAGATATTTTTAATTTAACTTTAGGCAATTGGATACTTTAATTATTTTAATTATTTGTTGATTTAAAAAGTAAAGTATTAATTAGTTCCATATCTAGGTTTTGATAATTTTGTAATTTCTTAATATTTATAGCTAAATATGAGTTATAAGATGGTTACATTTTATCTTCTAATTTTAACAAGAATAATCTTTTAAAGAATCTTGAATCACAAGATATTTATGTTTTATTGAAGTAATTGCTAGTTAAATCAAAAGAATTTAAATATAATAGTAAATGCAATTAACAATAAATATAAGTGTTATAATCCCCAACATCTTATTACTATTGAATTGATTCAATTAATAATTGATCTATTTGATTAATATTTTTCTTTTTTCTATTAATAATATTATGTATAATATACAATTTATTTGATTAAAAGATATAACCAAAATCTACTATTTTAGATTGTCTTTATGCTAAATTGGCAATAGTAAAATTTAAATATTTATCATCAATTTGAATATGATTTTATATGAAATTTTAGACATACATCCAATTTCCTGGATTTCTATTGAGTAATCCTAATAAAAAATTTGTTGGGAGATAATCTATTAGAAATCTTGGTTTTTCAAATAAATATGGCTTATTAATAGTATTAAAAATAATTACTAAATCTTTGACATCTTAGTAGAATAAATAATTAAATTCTTTGATTATATTAAATATAGTTTTTAAATGAGTTTAACTCATTGGACTACAAAGAAATGTTTAAAAGTATACTGCCATTTTATTTTTAGTACAAACTTCGCATAATAACATGAAACAACTTTTAAATATATAATGATAATATTTATGAACATCTAAAATTATGAAATAAAATATATATACAAGTTGTTTTTGCAATTGTTAGGATATTTTTAAAAACTAAGTGAATATTTTATTCATCAATTAAATTATATAAGACTTTCATGTCTGTTTTCTATAGTACTGACTACTTCATTAAAGTTAATACAATTTTAAGTATTAATATACAAATTAAGCTCTATAATTATAATTATTGACTTAAGATATCTTAAATTGAAGTCAAGAATTAAAATATTTTTTTGGTTTCATCTTTAGTTTTTGTTGCAATTTACTTTAAAACTCTTTCCATAAATACCAATACTTTAGACAAGTTGAGTTAGGTTTCTGCATGTTAGATTTCTAATTTTTGAAAACAAAAGAGTTTGATTTCTTCATTATCTTAATTTTCTTTTGACTTTTTATCTATTTAACAAGGACCTTTAATTGCTTCTGCCAATACAAGATTTATATTGATATCTTTTGCTTATAAAAGCAATAAGCAATCAATAATAGTATTAAAATAAAGATTTTTAGAATTGGAAGCCAATTTAAACAGATTGAGTAATTCATTCACTACATTTTTTTTATCAATAAGTTTTTCTTTTTTAATGATTGGTGTAAATTTTTTCAAGAAATCTTTATCTTATTTATGTCTATTGCTAGTGAAGTCAAAAAGAGATCGCAAATCACTAATAATTTATTCATTTGTTTTATTATCAGTTTACTTCTATTTACTCATAAATATATTTAATATAAATAATAATAATAATATAAAAAATAATATATTAACAAATAATATAATGTGTAATTTGTTTCATATCTTAATTTTTACGTGTTAAATGGATGATTGAATAAATATAAAATCATTAATAAATTAGATATGTAAGCAAAAAGAGAATATCTTTGTCCAATTACAGAACCAAAGCCTGATGAAACTCCAATATACAGACATCCTATGGCAAAAGTAAACTATAACAATTACAATTAGGATGGATTTTTGCCTCCATTAGACAATAGAAAAGTGAATATGCAACAGTAACTACTCATCTAATTTGAAAAGTTTTCAGATAAGAAGACATTGGGTACTTTCAATGAAGAAACCTAACAATACGATCACATTACATATAAGGTATTTTATGAATCTATGAATTAGGAAATTTAAGAAATTGCAACTTCTCTTGGTTCTTCCCTTTGTTAATAAGATTCAATAAAAGAAGTAAAAGATTAATAAAACAATGTGATTAAACCTGTTGGAATTTATTTATCTAATAGAAGAGAGTGGACTTTAATAGATGTAGCTTGTATATTATATGGATTTACATCTTGTCCATTTTATGATACTCTTGGAGTGGATAGCATAACTTATTCTATGAATATTACTTAAGTGAGGTAAATATATATATATTATTTTTATATAGTGTGTGTTTTGTTTAACCAAGTACAATAGGATTTTTGGCCAAATCAAATTTACCTTACTTAAAAACTATAGTAACAATTGGTGCTTAAGATCCTAACATCTTAAATACTTTGGCAGAATAAAAGAAAGAAGTAATCACTTGGGATGACTATATTAAAAGATCAAACGGAAAAATATAACCTTATCCAAATTTACAACCATAACATCCATTAACTTTAGTATTCACTAGTGGAACAACTGGAGAACCAAAGGCAGCCATATAGTCTCATCTTAATTTTACTTCAATGATTGCTCTTTTCGAACACTAAGATAAGTTTGCTCTTACATAAGATGATGTCTATTTATCTTATTTACCATTACCACATACTTTTGAGAGAGTAGTTCATTTGGCAGCTTTATCTGGAGGAGCAGAACTTAATTATTATAGTGGAAACATATAAAATATAGCTAAAGACATTCAAAGATGTAAACCAACATACTTTTGTGGAGTACCTAGAATTTTCAACAGATTTTATGAAGGAATTCAAGCTTAATTAAATTCTTTCCCTCCTGAGATCTAATAAAAATTTGAACTTGCTCTTGCTGCAAAAATAAAATATTTTAGAGCTACAGGTAAAACAACACATGATTAATTGGATGAAGCATTTGTTAAGACTAGAGCTATTCTAGGTGGTAGATAGAGAATTATGATTACTGGAGCTGCTCCAATATCACCAAAGATTTTGGAATATTTAAAAATGACATTTTGTTGTTAAATTATTGAAGGTTATGGATAAACAGAAACAACTGCTGCATCATTTTTAACTGATTTTAATGATCCTGTATGTGGTCATATTGGTGGACCAACTATTTCTTAGGAATTTAAATTAGTCAGTGTTCCAGAGATGGATTATTTAACTGATTAAGTAGTTGATGGACAAAAAAAAATAAGAGGAGAAGTTTGTTTAAGAGGGCCAAGTGTTATTAAGAGTTATTTCAATAATGTTTAATCAACTAAAGAAACTATTGATGAAGAAGGTTGGGTTCATACAGGTGATATTGGAGAAATAGTTGATGGAGCACTTAAATTAATTGATAGAAAAAAGAATCTATTTAAATTATCTCAAGGTGAATATGTTTCACCAGAAAAAATAGAAAATTGTTATTTAAGAGTTAAAGGTATTTCTGAAATAGTTGTTTTTGGTGATTCTCTATCTAATTATTGTGTAGGAGTTATTGTACCTGAATAGACATTTTTGAAGTAATGGGCAACTGAATTAAATATCTAAGGAGATCATTAATAATTATGTTAAGATAAAACTATGAGAGCTCATGTCTTAAAATTAGTGAATGAATAAGTAAATATTATTTTTAATTTTAGGGAAAATAAGATAATCTAAATGGTTTTGAGTAAATCAAAAATGTTTATTTAGAACCAAGACCATTTATTTAAGTTGGAATATTAACTGAAACAATGAAAATGCAAAGACATAAAGCCAGATAAAATTATTAAGATATTATTAAATTCCTTTATTAAGAAATTTGATCTATTTTATGCATTTATTAATAAATAGGAATTTTATTTCTATGAGATAATTATTATATAAAATATCAATCTTTGTTGAGAATTTAGAGTTCCAATTTCCTATATGTACTATTTATTAACGAAATTTCTACTGGTATGCCTATATTTAATTACGATTCTAAAAAGGATGGTTTCCATGTTTTTTATAATAATTTATACATGTAACAAATAGTCTCTGCTTCAAATTAACAATTCTTTGGATTTTAAACAAAACTATCAATTGCTGCAAAAATACTCTTTATAAATTTATTATACTATTAATTTAAATAGAATTATTACTTTGTTTGCTTTAATAAATGACATTTTCATCACTATCTTTTCTCTCATCCATTAAGTATTAATCTTCTCTCTAATTGTAAAATAAGTCTCTCTATCTAATAACTTAATTTAATCATCTTCTTAAAATATCTTTAATTCATCACAAACTAATGTAAATCTTTATTTTGACATCATCTTTCCACTATCCCCACAATAATCTGCTTCTTAATAAAATAGTCTTATAGAAAATGAGTAATTTATGCAACATAATACTTCATATAAAAAATTCCATTAATAAAAGTCAATACTTCCCTTATTTACTAGATCGACAGCAGTATAGAGATGTTTATACTTAACGGAAGTACGATTTTTGTATTTTTAAAATATCTCTAAAAATTAGAACATTAAGATGTCATAATCACATGGTCCTTATTAACTCTACATATAAGCAACTTCTGATGTTGAAATATCATATATAATATTATCAATTTCATTTTAAGAGTACTTATTATCAAAAAACCATTTGAGTAAGGTATCAATGAATTTTGAATATGATACATTTGGATATTCTTATAAAGATTAAACTATTTAGAGATATAAATTGAGATCTTGTATATCATATTCAGCTTTTAAAAATTTAACAACTAATTAACAAGTACTACTTTTTGTTTCAAAAAATAAGAAACTTCTAATTGTTCTTTTGTATCTATTTGCATCACTAAATTATGATTAACCATAATGTGCAACAATATTCTCATACATGTGAACATGAAGGGGAGTATTTTAAATAGTATTAGGAATTTTCATAATTAATTCATTATAATTTTAGAGTATAGTACTTAATTGGTATAATCCAGTTCTCTAATTAATATTGAATTTAGATATCACTAAATATAAATATATTGATATTACTTTATTTTAATAAATTTGTAGCATATGAGGCAGATTTTACTGGACAAGTTGATATTCTTAATTTTTTTTCTATTGTTAATTTTGGTTTGCTTTATTTGAAATCCAATTTAATTTAACTAAAAGAAACATCACTCTCATTTCCTGAGCCTTCTTTGGAAGAATCACTTTTGTAAATATCATCATCTTCTTTGCTAGATATTTCAATTTGACTGGGTATTTTCTAAATTTTCATTAATGGTTTAGAAATATTGATATTTGTTAAAGTTTTATTAGGAGATCTAGTTGGTGAATCTAAATCTTTATTAGATAATTATTGTGATTATTTAGGATCAATATTAGTACCTTATCTTCTTTTAAATTCCTTAAATTCTACATTTTCCAATACTCCATATGCATTAGCTTATTCTTTAATTTAATTAATTAAAAATTATGGAGCATATCTAATAACCTTGATTAAAGAGTCTTCATAAAATTTAGACTTAATTTATTATATAATTTTACAATAGTTTCTTTTTCTTTAGTTCTATTATGATATTTTTTAAATAAAGCAACATTTTCATTAAATTTATTTTCAATTTCTTTCATTTCAAGTTCCATTTCTTCTTTGTCTATTTTAGCATCCATAACAACAGAAATTTAAGTTTATAAAACATTCCAACATTACTAAAATATAATATAAAAAATCTACATTAAAATAATAATTAAAATTGCCATAATTTTAAAGTAAATATTATTTGATTGCTTAAATATCTTCACTAGAATTATCACCTCTCAAATTTAATACAGTTAATAAATCCTCAATTCTATCCTTTAATTAAGTAATTTAATCAGCCATAATAACAATAAATTATGGATCATTACTACTTAATTCTTATTCAGGAAAATAAAGAGAACTATATTCTTATATAATTTCAGATAAAGGAAATCTTGCTCTTCTAAATAATTTTGATTCTGTTTAATTTCTAGGCACTCTCTCTTTTCTTAATTATGTTGAATTAACTTATGATTCTTAATTTCCTTAAGATGGTTAAACTTATATTTCTTCATCTATTTTCTTTGCTTATTTAGGTGTCTAAGTTGAAGAACTTACATAAACAAAATATTCTGATGTATCTTCACTTTATACTTTTGTTTTAATTAAATCACTTGTATCAACAGATGATTCAGTAATAATTAAATGAGTTGATCCATCATAATATTCATCCTATAAAGTAAGAATTCTATAATCATATTATAATTTATACTTATATTAATTTTCAATTTCTTTTTTATGTACTTCAAACTTTTATTTAAAAAATTCAAACATATCTTTCTATTATAAAACAAGATCCATCTCTTCAGCAGTTTCAGCTTATTTATGAAATTTATCAATTCCTTAATATTCTATTAATTGTAAACTTTATTCCCAAAAATCACTCATAATATCATGTAATTATTCTTCTCTTCTTTTATCTTTCTTTCTTAAATATACATTTTCTTTTTTCATTTTTATAATTGAATTTTAAACTGCTAATGCTTCTTCTTTCATCATTCTCATTGATTCTGCTTATTTTTCAATAGCATCTTAATAATTCTTATGTAATTAGTT